GTGTTGTTTCCCTGTTCGATTCAGGTACAGTCATCCACGAAGCACACCTCGGGTTATTCTTTTCCCCCACAAAGTAAGCCGACTTTCATGATATTTGACCCAGAAAGCTTGAGGAAAAGCCTGAACTATTGGATCGCGAAATCGGGAAGTAAATTCTAATCACAAACATGGCATGTCCACCCTCCTCCTCTCGATGTTCAATACCCATCCGCGTTATACGCCTTAATCACCAAGGGCAGTCCCGCCTTCTTGCTCATATCTTTCCCAACGACAGCCGGCCGAGAAATCAAACCTACCGCCTGCGGGACGACGTCCTCGCTCGGTACTGCCGGAGCGAACTCGAACGCACGGACGAGGGTGAAGATGATTGCTTTCAACCTGAGGACATGATGATGAGAACGGGACTGGGGGTAGAATGGAAGGAGGAGGTACTCGACGAGTGCGAAGCGATAACCGATACCTGACCATCCATTGGAGTAAGTGACGTGTCCACTTCCAAGAAGGAAACAAATTACGCACAATTATGCACGCCCCCGAAAAACGTCAGCAGATGCGTGTAAACACCCGGGATCGAACTGCTCGCAGCGGGCAGGGCTTGAGGGTTCTCCCAGCGCTCCGGGCTATTCGAAAGCCGGTTAGCTCTAGGACGAGGGCAGAGGGAGAAGCAAACACACATGAACTTGAGAGCGTCCTCGCCCCAAATCTCCGGGTCGGTGTTGACCGCGAGGATGGGCACGTGTATAACTTGCCCTTGACGCATCCTATGAAGCGTCAAGGCTCAGTCTGTCCGGTAGATATTGCGACTCACACGAGACTCTGATGTTCCTTCCCCCGCTTGTCGATGTATGTGTTGGAGAGCGGTATCACATCATCTTGGACAACGACACGCTGCGCGAAATGGACTGGCGCGTATAGGCGCATCGTCTCCCTCACTGGAAGTCATGAACTCAGCTTATTCTCGAGAAAATAGACAATAGCATACCAACACACTCCAAATAAGGCAAAGCATTCAACTCGTCCATCGTTGGGTTCTCCGTCGTAGCCAAAGTGAGCAGGTCGTCCCGGAGCTTGGTCTGCACGGTGGGGTGGAGCGAGAGGGCGTGCAGCGTCCAGGAAGCGGCCGTGCTCGTCGTTTCATGGCCGGCGAAGAGGAACGTTGGGATTTCTAGTGGAAGAATCAGAGATACAGCAAGAAAGAGAAAGTTCAAATTCGAAGGACAACTCACGCGCAGCCAACTCGGCATCACTCATTCTCTGGCTCTCCGGCAAAGCCTCCGCCGCTATATTGGATTTAAGCAACACTGACAGCAGATCGCGTTTTCCTTTCAACGAGGCCGATGCCGCCGTGTCTTTGGATTGCGCTTCAGCTGCAAGCTCCGCCTTGCTCCCTGAAATAATGTGATCCGCGATCCTCTTCATCGTATCGCGTGCGTCATTCGCTACCTGCCTCCCGGGCACGGGCACGAATTTCAAAATCGGAGCCATCGCCTGCGCGGTCCTGAATCCCGCGTAGAGCTGGGCGCGCGGGGAGTGGATCAATCGGGTGAACGCGTCTTGCATCTGGTTCGGTTGTTCGTGTGCGTGCGCGGTGAGGGAGTTGAAGGAGTAGTTGAAGCCTATGTAGGCGGAAATCAGACTGGTTTATGGGATTCACTGATGATGAAGGGACTTGCCTGCCTCCCCGATAGTAACATCCAGCGTAACTCGGCGGAACCATGCTGACACATCCAAGGTGGCGCCCTCGGGCTTTCCGATGAGTTGATTTGCCCAGATGTCACGCAGCCGGATGGCTTTTTCGGTGAACATCTCGGTGAGGAGGCGGATTTGCGATGGTGCAAAGGCTTGATTCTGGTTATGGGGTTAAAAATTTCCAACTAGTCTAAACGAGAACTCACCATGATACGCCGCTACGGGAGTGGGTAGCATGGTGCACAGCTGAAGACGGTGGGATCCCGCTGGCACATACCTGACGTTTATGCTCTTCCTTCTCCACCGAGAATACACCTGTGGACGCGAGTCAGTCGTCTCATCTGCAATAAGGAGGCTGGGACACACCATTACCGAGCAGATATTTCGACACATCCAAATTCGAGGGCACCTTTTCATATACCGCGTTGTTCATGACGATATGGTTCACGGCTTTGATGTCCGACGTGTGAAGCTCCATTCTCTGGTTTTCGTCAGCGCAAGAATTGGAAAGCTACGAGACGAGAATGGACGCACTCCAAATAGACTCCGGAAACGAAAGTTGCGGCCGAATTGGTCCCGCCACTGCGAGGTGAGGGACGAATCCTCCTGGGAACGATATTATAGCGAACAGGAAGTGCAAATGTAGTCCGTACCGCCATGGCTTTGAAATTCCCGAGAACGAAACTCGGGGAGGGCGGGCCCGGCATGTCGCGGAGAGGCGAGGTGAGGGAGTTGTAGACGCTCTGCGCGAAGCGAAGAAGGCAGTAGAATGCCAGGGCACACGCCACAGGAATGAGAATGTTGGTGGTGTTGTTTGAATTCATGATTGAGTATTAACGAATGAGAGTGGTTTGGTCTTCCAGGCGTTCTTATAAGCAGCCTCTTGACGAATCACGAAAGGTTGGATGACGCGAGGGTCCTGGATATCGGACGGGGCATTTCGGTGGTAAGGTCAGCGCAGCTGACGCGAGGCGGTGGTAGCAGGCAACGACCCGAGGTCCGGGGCTTCTGAGAGCTTGACATGTACATGAAATGCCGGAAAGCGAGTGCGTCTTACCGGTAGGCACGCAGCGCCGTGGGCCGCGTGATCAGGTGGGAAGGCTGGGTAGACGAGACATTGACAAAGTGGAGGAGAGTATCACGTCGTTCCAGTGGCGCAGTGGCCATGGCCAATGGTAGTCAATCCAGTCGCCGGAAGCCAAAGTGCGGAAAGCCGCAGCCCGCGGGCAGAAGCCATTCATTTCTCCAATGACGAACATCAAGTTGGTAAAGTCCATTCTGGGTGACGGCGCGAGGGAAGCAGATGGAAGCTCGAGCAAACGTCAGGACATGGTGGTCAGAGTCAAAGCCGTGTGACGACGATGTGTGACCGATGGCGGATCATGATGCACAGCATTGCATCACTCGCTCTCTTCAATCAGGACAAAGTCAAACAATCAAACGTCTCTTGTCTCTTGCCTCCATCGTCGACTTCGATCGTGCCTCTTCAGACATTACAATTTCTCGAGAATGCTGCACCTTCAAACACTGTCGGCACACCGAACCTCCGTGCCCCGGTGAGCCCCCACGGGAACGAGCAAGGAAATCCAAAGGCAATCGAAAGGAACAAAGGCTGGCTGAGGAGACTCGAGATTTGGCAACAGACGCCATGGAGGTTTGAGACCAATACTTCAACACAGCATTCGAGACCAAGTTTCGAGCTGTTAGGAAGGCCGTCGAGGGCCGCTGGCGGCCCCGAAGATTTTGATTCGTAGGTCATGCCGGTGTGTGTTCGTGATGCGCGGGGACCGGCTGTCTTTTCGAGTCACTACCAAACACTGCCACGTCGTCACTCTTGATCTTGTACCACTGCTGGCCGACCATTGGAGCATGGCTCCTCGTCTTCCGCTTGAGCTAGAACGAGCCATCCTCGAACTTGTAGCCCTCTCCCATCCGGTTTCCATTCCCCATCTTCTTGCTGTCGCTTCGCGGGTTAAAACCTGGTAATTTTTCTATCCTCGAGCAAATGAACCGTATCGTCTCAAAAACTCCAATACAGGATACATCCGCTACTTTATCGCACCGTCGTCGTCAGTTGTGATCCGTCAGATTCGCCTGTGGACGGCCTGCGCTCCTACACACCAAAAGTCTTCTCCCAGATCGCCGAGCTACAAGGAACCTCCTTGGATTCTGTTCGGAATCTGATGTTGGTGGACGCAGACGACGACCAAATAGCAAAGATCCTATCGGCATGCCCCAAAATACAGAATCTGTACATCGATTTGCCGGTAGATCGTGCGCCCAGCGACGCGAGTCTGGCCGCGCTCGATGCCCTTCCTCTCCGTCATCTATATTGCGACAATCGTTATGTGCTCCGCACCGACTCCCTCTCCCAACCTTTCCTGGAAAACATCTCACATCTCGAGCTATTCGAGGAAGTTCCCAGAGTGGAGCACTGGTCAAAACTGGCCCAGCTGCCACGACTCACGCATCTTTGCACCGGCGACTACCATACCGATTTCTGCGCATTTGCCCTCGAAAAATGCAAATCTTTGCACGTGTTGGTCGTCACGATGAGCCCGCTTTCGCACTGGGACTACTTGGCTGTCGCCAAAGACTCGCGATTTGTCATGATGAACCTGTCGTCGGGTTTCATGGACGACTGGCAGCGAGGTGTCTTGCACGGGCAAGATTATTGGGCACGCGCGGAGGACTTTATTGCGAAGAGAGTGGCCGGCCTCCCACGTCGTGAGCACTTCCAGTCTATGTGAACGGAGAGTTCCTTACAACGTATTCCAGCGGATCCGCAGCATCCTTTTCACCTTGTACAAGATGTTCCTCTATAAAATGAATACGAATTCACAGATAACCTGGCGGTCGTTTATTTTGTCACGTCAACATCAGCAAACCTCCTTGTTTGCTACTACCATGATGGGATTGGTCAGGGATTGAGCCAAGCGCAGCTGAACGTAGCGCTGAACACGTAGGCTCAAGCGCTAGAGACGTAGGCTCAATCGCTCCACAACCCACCATCATGGACACTGTGTTCCCCGGGTTTCTCACCAATAGAAGGCCCACGTCTTTTGGTCAAGCTCAGAAATCTTACTTCTTGCTCTCCGCTCTTGACTCGCCCTCGTATCCCCTGCTCTTAGTACCGCCCAATAGGCTTCGACTCCAGTCTCGCAATCGACGGCATCTAGCACACCTCCGAGCCAGTGTCTTAATGCCAGTGCCGCTGCCGGCATCGCTGCACTCATCGTGGATTTCGTTTTGCCGTTGGTTTGAAGAACGCAGCTCGATGAGGACCGAAAAGAAGTACAGCAAGCAAGAAATTCCGGTGCGGGGAATCGAACCCCGCGCAACCGCGTCAGAAAGCAAGGTTAAGAACCATGAGAGGCGGATATGTTACCGATACACCACACCGGAACTGCTTGAGCTCAGGTTCTGTGGAACGTAGCGGAATCGTCAGGTTCGAACCAAATTGTGTTCTAGCCAAGAAATTGAAGAATGGGCATGAGATCTTCAGTTCGTGCGCGTGCCTTCCGACCCTTCGTCTGAACTCAGCGCCGTCCCCCGTTGGCATCGCAAAATCCGTGTCCTTGGCAATCAAATACGCGATGAATTGCGCTTACAGCAGTATGTAGCAGTGTGTGCGAAAGAAGAGAATGGAGTTGACCCACTTCGCCTAGACTCTTATACAGCCAGATTGAAAAGAGTCCGTGAGGCCCTTCAGTCTCCCTGTTATGCAGGAGCGCGTCCATGAAGAGATCAATGTCGAGGGTCGCAAACAACTTCTCGTTGCAGGCCAGGCCGCCAGTGAAACCCGTCGCTTATGTATGTCGACATTTTTAAGGTTCGAGACGAGCGTCGGTTGTAGTGTAGTAACCAGGTACCAAGACGTCAATTACTCGGCGGCCCCCGGTTGGGTTTTGTGGCACAATTCAGGCTGTGTGCGGTCCAAGGCATCATTGGAGACTCGGTGACTGAGCCAGCGGATTTTGCAGCCTGCAAAGAATTGGGTTTCTCGCTGGGATTCAACTCCGGTCGAATAAACCAAGGTGGGATGCAAGTATCGTTGCCCCCGAGATGAGTAGCATGCATCTAGACCTCGGCTTGGGTAGTTTGTCGAGTCGAGTCGAGTTTCGAACGCGAGGAGGCGATCAAATCACGGAAATTTCCGAATCGAGATGGCTTGTTTCCCCTTTGGGTCTTTACGAATCCGAGTTTACGAGGAATCGTCTTTACACACCTCCTTCCTTACCAACCATCCATCAGCCAGCCTAGCAACTCTTGCTCAAGTGACCTCGTCCTACCCCGTAAGGAAAATAATCTTATCGTTTTTGATTATCGGGCTAATATCTGGCCTTCCATCTGCCTCGAGGTGGCATGTCGGGGCCCGGTATGATTTTGGGGGTCTCCGAGCGATCTTTGGTCGTCCATCCTCGCCTTTTCCTTTGATAAGTACCGTAGACGACACCCTCCCGCGGGCTCTGAACCTAGGCATCAACCCAGTCCTTTAGGCTTTGGCCTACCTCTTATGCGTACTACCTAAAGTCGGTCGGCGGCGGTCGGTCACCACTGGACCTGAACCCTCCGGGGCTCTGCCATCGTCTCAAGTATTATGACGCTTTGACCCAACCTCCATCACTGAAAAGCTCGCATGTTTGACTCGCGAATCCACGATGCACGCGTGTATCGGGATGGATGTTGGGATATGCATGCAGATACGCATCTGTCCCTTCGAACCGGCCTGCCTTTGAGCCAGGATGCACCACTACCAACGACCAGCCGCAGATCCGTACCCCGACGCTAAGATATAACAACGACGTCTTATGCGCTCAACGAGTCTTTTTCTGTGACAAACCTCATTCAACGTTAACAGAGACCACGACAACGACGGTCCAGCTGTGAAGGTACGACTGCATGAGACCGATGTTATTCCAGTGAAATGCGTAGATACGAAACACAACCTAAATCAAAACCAACCAAATCCCAAACCAAGGAAGGGTGCTGAATGTGATGTCGAGGAGTGAAGCGCGTGCGTACTAAATCGTTGATGTTGTTCGGGGTTCGGGTCAAAGTATATGACCTTATCTGTTCAGATGGGACGGACTTGACACCGTATGTGCAAGCAGTCGTTGGGCTCGAATGAATCCTAAATCCAAATAGTCAGCAAATCAAATCTTCCGTATACCTTCAATCCAGATAGTCCAATCCGTTCGTCGTGTGAGAGTGTAAGCTGGTGAGGATGAGTGTGGGCTAGCTGTGCTAGAGTCGAAGTTGTCGTTCCGTTGTCGTAGTTGTTCCGTTAATCCGTTCCGTTCCGTAAGTTCCCGTATCCCGTTAAGTTCCCTGAGCCCGACCCGTGTGATCTGCTCTGAGCTAAACCCGTGTGATTTGCTACCTACTGCCAAAAAGCACTCGTCCTTATATACTACGACTGTTTACCTCGGGCATCGTGTTTGCACAATGCCGACCCTGAGCTGCGCACAGACTCCCCGAGCCCTCACCTATACCTCCTGACCTGGTGGATTCCCAATTCAAGCCTCGAGATGTATCCCGTGAGCTGAACGATGCCTCCTGGCCGATTCGGTCATGCCTCGGTCATCTCGGGCATCTCGGTCTCTCGTCCTTTCCTTGCTCTGATTGGTTCTCCACGCCTCACATGTCCATCCTCGTTGCCCGAATCAATGACGCGTCCTCGGTGTGCGTCATTGACCGACCCTCGTTGCCCGAATTCAACTCCCTCGAGTCAAGTTCAACCCCTCCTGACTGCGTGATGAGTGATCTTATCATGATCGTATCACATGTTCGGCCATCACACCTCGCATCACAGCCATCAACCTTCCTCCAGGTCCTTGTCTGACTCCTGCACACGAGCTGTTGAAATTCGCAAATTCTGGGCTTTGCACCCAGTTTCCTTCGTACCCCGTACGTCCGTACTTCACCAGCTGCTGGGCTGGCTGGCGCAGCGATGAGGCCTCTGCGACGCCTGCACTTTCCCCTGGATGCTTGCCACGACTCGGAGCTCGTTCACTTCGGTGTTCTATGCTACTTATTCCGCTGCTCAGCTTTATCCACGTGCCTGCACGACCTCCGCGGTCTTCCTGCATGTTAGGCTGACGCCCCTTCCAGATTCGCGACCGCCGACCGGCGTGTTATTTCGATCAATTTATCGCCTCAAGGCTCGGTGTTGCCCGGTCACCTCAGGCTCGCTCCACTGACGGCTTTGAGAATCTGATGTGCATACATCTCTAGTCTCTCGTTGCTTTAACTCTTTCCAACTATTGGTGAGTCATCATTACCTTTCATGTATGTGTTCCCGTTAACTTGAACTGCGGTGACCGGCTGACTGAACCGGTTTCCCAGATCGCTCGCGAATTCGCTCTTCATCGACCTCACACGCTGTAGCGTACGTGTGTTACTTCTCAGCTCCGCAGTATCTGATGCAGCGTTGTAGACTCTCTCGAATTACAATTTCCTGTGACCCACCCTTCTCCACTCCGATCTGGGACCCAGGGCAGACACTTAGTCTTCCCGGATAAGTATTTTCTGTGCTCGGTACTCCTAAGGAGACAACATGTGGGTTTTGGAGCGATGGGAAACAAATCTTGTACAGGCCTCCGTACTTACTTGCTTGAATGTTTTTGACCTGGTGTGGGAAAAGTCAGGAGCAGGAGCAAGATCGACGAACAACTTTCATTGGCACAGCGCATACCTAGTTGCAGGCGACAACTTACAAGTGGGGACTCGAAAGTCCACATCTCTACCTCACAGACCTATTGTTACAGGCACTTGAGCTCATTATCTGGACAAATCATCGGGTGAATGGCCGGCTTAGTTTTTGTCAAAGAGCAGTTCCGGGCAGCCAATCCTCCTGGCGTGGATCGAGACGACATATGAAAGGTGAGCTGAAAATCCACTCATGAGCCATGGATCAAACTGAGGACACCGGCGCTAGAGACTGGACGACAGTCGCGGGCGTTTAACGAGTTGCTTGCGAGCTCGCGGTCAGGGCAGAGCTTCACTGGTTACTTGTAACGTCAACCAGTCGAAAGTCTGGCTACGTGAGACTACATAAGCTCTATGAGACTTTGGTTTCCTGGCTGTCCTCAGCTGGGCTGCAATGTGTTTTCTTTTTGCACGCCTCCGTCTTCACTTTAACGCCGAGTCTGGTCATTTAACACAAGGAGACTTACCCATTGGCTGCCCTTACGCGTCTACGGTGGTTGACTATTCAGCAACCGCGACAGCTCTTTTCACGGGCCGACGGCGGCGCGTGCAAGATGGTTGACCTTGTACTGTTGGGACACATACTAGAATGCTATGGTGCGTGACCGTGAGTCTGCAGCTGTTGATGTCTCTTCTCAATCGTCGCTAGCGCTGTATTTATCATGTTGGCAAATTGGCACCTATAGGCTATTGCGCTCAAGCACAATTTCAGCATCACGTCGACTGCCGTGATTGCCTGTTTCTCATCGGGTCACTGCTACGCCGCTTTCCCTTGTACAATGTCATACACATGTAAACTGATTTTTTCCCTCTTCAAGCCATTGGAGCGAGTTGCCATTCGCAATCGAGACTCGCTGATCTCCCGCGGATTTAGAGTCCACGATCCATAGGCGTTCGACGCCCTCCCGATCGTGATGAAAGGCTGTCGTTCTCACGACAGACACTATCGGGCGAACCAAACGTGCAGTGACGCACACGTTGACAGGACCACGGTGTATTCCTACGGCGGGACAAACCAGGCTACGAGCAACTGGAGGAATACAAGGGGGAGGTGTCGGGGTGCATGCGTAACTAAAGTAAAGTAGATGCTGTCCATACATACGTATGTGGGCTGTGTACGGTAACAGAAGGCTGTACTGTGTGAGATAGACAGATCCATGATGCCAGGACTGACAGGTGACAGATCAGTGATGTGGCTGTAAGGATGCCATCCTTACACGTGAGTTTCGATTCCCCAGTCCTATCGAACCTGCTCTTTTCGAGCCTCTCTCATACTCAACCAGAACCCGGCTGATTCGGAGCTCTCAACCCTTGTCGCTGCTGAAACTTCTGTGCCCCGCGTCAGCCCTGGCATTATCAGATTCACGCCCGCTTTCGAGCCACATCCGCGTCCATTCACCCATGTGTCTGGGCACAAATCGAATGTATGCGGAGGTGCATCTTCAACCCTGCCTCCGCACGAGCCTAGTAGTAGTATTGCACAGTGCGGATACTTCTGGAGCTGCCGCGGGGTGCGATTGGCGGTGTGCACCTCAGGCAGAGGGCGGAGGGGTGCCACTGCAGAGGGCATGGATGGCCTGAATCTCTTTGGCCCTCTAGATTAACAACACAAAAGTTCGACTATCTTTTATTTGTTCATCTACAAGACGACATTGGGTATGATTGGGAGACTACCTTGGCCCGGAAAGGGAGCA